CAGGGGGCACAGGTGGGCTCTGCCAGCCTCTCAGGGTGAGGGATGAACCAATGTGAGAGTGGAGACCTGGTCCCTGGAGGAGCACCATGGGGCCAGCGCCACCCTCTGGACCTGGAGGCTCAGCTCAGACCCCAGGCCGATTACCCTAGGAGGCCAGGCCTGGCTGGCTCCAGCACAAGTCATGAAACCGGCCAGGGCCACTCTGCCCAGGGTACCTGGTTAGTGAGAGGGAGTGAGTCCCGGCGCCCTTGCAGCCCAGGTGTGTATTTGTGCTGGCTGAGTCCCGTTTCCACGGACGGGGGCCTGGGCTGCCAGCTGTGCCTGTGGACACGGGGGCAAGCGGGTCAGAGGAAGGAGAAGACTCCGTAGCCACCCTAATTGCCTCTCTGGAGAGGGAGACGGAGCGAGAGGTTGATTCTGTCTGACCCCCTCTGTCCCTTGGGGAGACTACATAATGAGAGCAAGGAAGCAGCCACCTGTGTGTGTGCGTGTAATTTCGCGTGTGCGCGCATCCGTGTGTGTGTTTGTTGGTCCAGGGCTGGTGAGAGGTGCTTAGCCTCTGCGAGGACCACAAAGCCCGGCCGTAGAAGGCAGGTGGGGGTTGGTGCCGGCTTTTCTCTGGGTGCTTGGTGAAATGCACATTCCTAGGCCTCAGACACACTGGATCAGAGTGTCATAAGCGTAACTGTTAATTTTGAATGAGCTCTGTAGTTGATTTTCACGTTCATTTAAGTGCAGGGAAAAACCCACAGGCCCATGACATTTTTGCAAACCCTGGGAACCTCCCTGTTGCAAGCACACACTTATGTTGAAGGCTTCGTAAGATTAAGGATGGGTCCCCTTCTCTCCTGGCCAGGCTAGAGGGGCCCTTCCAGTCCACAGCCCGCCCTTGCAGGGAGACCTCGACGGTGCAAGAAGTTTGAATGAAGAGGAATGGGGGCGTGTGGGGGAGGGGACAGCTGGTCTGGATGACAAGGGAGGGGCTTTGCTGCCTGCCTGCATTTCTCTGCAGGGCCTCTCCTAGTTTTGGGATGGGGGATACTGAGTAAGAGATGGAAAAAGGCCTGGAACTTGTCTGGGCGCAGCCCATTACAGCTGTGGGGTTTTGGACTGAATCAGCTATCAGCCACCTGCACTGAACATCAGTTCCCTCCAGTGCTGTGCTGCCCCAGACTGATGGACACAGGTCTTTGGTTCTCAGCCCTTAAATGGTGATCCTTTTCAACTGGAGTCTCTGATCCCCCCCACCAGCTGGACAATAGACAGGGGAGACGGACTTGATCCTTCTCCCCACCCTTCAAGGAGAACCCCCCCTGGCCAAAAGCTTACACATTATGCTGATATTATGGGTGCTTTGTCAGCATTTGAGTGACAGATGACATGGCTTTTGATTCGGGACAGGCTGAGGCTATAAAAATGCCAGCATTGGAGAGGATGTGGAGAAATAGGAACACTTTTACACTGTTGGTGGGAATGTAAATTAATTCAACCATTGTGGAAGACAGTGTGGCGATTCCTCAAGGACCTAAAAATAGAAATCCCATTTGACCCAGCAATCCCATTACTGGGTATATATCCAAAGGATTATAAATCATTCTACTACAAGGACACGTGCACACGAATGTTCATTGCAGCACTGTTTACAATAGCAAAGACCTGGAACCAACCCAAATGCCCAACGATGATAGACTGGATAGGGAAAATGTGGTATATATACACCATGGAATATTATGCAGCCATCAAAAACGATGAGTTCACGTCCTTTGTAGGGACATGGATGAACCTGGAAACCATCATTCTCAGCAAACTGACACAAGAGCAGAAAATCAAACACCGTATATTCTCACTCATAGGTGGGTGTTGAACAATGAGAACACATGGACACAGGGAGGGGAGCACTACACACTGGGGTCCGTTGGGGGGAAATGGGGGAGGGGCGGGGGGTGGGGAGGTGGGAAGAGAGAGCATGGGGAGAAATGACAGATACAGGTGAGGGGACGGAAGGCAGCAAACCACACTGCCATGTGTGTACCTATGCAACAATCTTGCATGTTCATCACATGTACCCCAAAACCTAAAATGCAATAAAAAAAAATGCCAGCATTTTAAGAGATGCTAAATGACTGCTGTAGAGAAAGAAATCAAGGAGAAGGCACAAAAGTCCCCCCAGCCAGTGGCCCTGAAATTCTTTATCTCCAGATCAGAAGAAAACAGAGTTGTCCATTAACAGCAAATGTTTAAAATATAAAGTGCAACCCCATGTGGCGGGGGTGTTGGGGCAGTTAAAGCAGGTGTGTTTGTAAACTAAAAGGCAAATCCCATTGGAGATAACTTTTCAGTTTGATGCTCAGCTTTGTAAGCCCGAGTTATTTCCAGCTATTGATACCTGCACAGAAATAAAACACTGCTGGAGGCAAAATGTCATCAGCTGAGCCAAAAATCCCATTTAATTTACTCCCCTATCTTGCAGTAAGTCATTTACTCACTATCTTGCAGTAAAGTCATTCAACAAGGTGTTGGCTACCTTTAGCTAAGGTGTTTATGTATAGGATCTAAATCAACACGAAACAAAAAATATGATAAAATGGAAGATGTGGACTTTGGAGTCTGAAATACCTGAGTTATACCCAGGCTTTGCTCCTAACTGGCTGTGTGAGCTTGGGTAAGTCTGTCTCTCTTCTAAGCCTCGGTTTCTACGTTTGTGAAATGGAGATAATACCTGCTTGCCTATTTCACAGACGTGTGGAGAAGTTTAAACCTCACAAGTGATCATTTATATCAAGTCTCTAATATGGTACCTGACACATTTTAGGCATTGAATACTTTGCAGTTATGATGAAAATATGGATATACCCTTACTATGTTTGTCGCACAGTTTCATATTACCTATTTCTCAGCAATACAGTGAGGAAAACATCACTTAGCCCGTTTCACAGATGCTGAAACTGAGTTGCGATCACTGGGACTTGAGCCCAGGTCCTGATTCAGCTCCAGGTCCCATGCTCTTTCCATTGCATGCTCTTAAGCCGAGGTGCGCGATGCCATTTTCATGAAGTGCCAGGTCAGTAGGTGGCAGAGCTGGCTGTCACTGGCTTTCGGGGGACAGGGTAGCAGAGAGTGAAACAACGGGGTTGGAACATCTCTTAGGGAATGAATGGGGACCTCAAATCACAGAAAAGGTGCCCAGTGGATGCTTCATGCCGGCCAGTAGAGACAATTGCTGCACACCCCCTGCATGTCAGCATTTCTAGAACCTCAGTGCAGTCTGTTCCACTGGGGGCCTCTGGCAACGATGCCAGTTCTTCACTCTGATTGACATGTGACCTGTGAGTGTAACTCTTCACCAGCCCTTCATCCAATATGCAGAAACACTATGCCCCAATTACATCACAGTTTACATTATATATATATATATATATATATATATATATATATATATATATATAAAATTATGCTTTTATTGTAAACACCTTAAGGAATCACCTTTGCAGAACATTTTAAAAATACGTTTTTTTTTTTTTTGTTTTGTTTTGTTTTTGAGACAGACTATTACTCTGTCACCCAGGCTGGAGTGCAGTGGCACAATCTCGGCTCACTGCAACCTTTGCCTCCTGGGTTCAAGTGATTCTCCTGCCTCAGCCTCCTGAGTAGCTGGGATTACAGGCATGCATCACTGTGCCCAGCTAATTTTTGTATTTTTAGTAGAGATGGAGTTTCACCATGTTGGCCATCCTGGTCTTGAACTCCTGACTTCAGGTGATCCACCCTCCTCAGCCTCCCAAAGTGCTGGGATTATTACAGGTGTGAGCTACCATGCCTGGAGAAATACCTAATGTAGATGACAGGGTGACAGATGCAGCAAACCACCATGGCACGTGTATACCTACGTAACAAACCTGTATGATCTGCACATGTACCCCAGCACTTAAAGTATCATAATAAAAAAGAAGTTTTAAAGAACATCTCCATCTGTGGACAGAAGACTGCAGACACCCAACTCTTGCTTTGTGTGGATACATTTAGACAACTGGTGGGCAGCTTTTGGCATCGTAGCACAGAGTTCATTTTAATACATCTGGATGCCACAGAATGCTCTGGAACATGCAGCAAAGCGGTGAGAATGAGTCACAGACATTCTAACCCGTCCAGGAGCTTCCTACGTGTATAGGGCTCAGTCTAAGCCTTGCTATAGAAAGGTGTGCAGAGAGGGCATTTTTTAAATCCTACAAATGAAAAACAGAATTAAAAAAATCTATAAAGGGCACAGGCAAATCAATTCATTAAAAGGAAAAAAAAGCTAGAACCTCAGGAGAAAAGTGGGTCAAAAGCATGCACACATAATTTACACGCAAATGGTTTAAAACCCTAGAAAAAATTATCATCTCATTAGTTATCAAATATATATCTAAGATAGCACTGCATGAAAATAAGGTATTTTCTGCTGATAAAATTTGTGAATGGTTTTTCATTTCTGATGACAATATCAAATACTGATAATACTCTCACCACGAGTATAGATCTTTAGAAAAAACATTTTGCCTACAGGATATGAGAAGTCTCAAAAAAGTCCCAAAAACTTTTGGCCCAATAATTCCACGCCTGGGAATCCTAAGGAATTAATCAGAAGATCAAGAAAAAAAAAGTTTTAAGAACAAAATAAGTGAACCCATCTAAAAGGTCAAACATAGGAAAATGACAAAGTATTCAATATACTCATTAATGGCACATTATTCAGGTGTTAAAAAATAGCTTTATGATTTTGAGATAAATGGGGGAAATCCTTACATTGTTAAGTATTTAAAACCTATGTACATATTAATATAAAGAACCATGTCAACTGTGAAATGGTGAGAAATGAGGAGAAGGAAATACATCCAGTCGTTAACAGAAGTCTCTGAGTGATGGGATTATTTCTTTCCCCCTGCTTTTTTGCATTTTCTACTTTTTTTTTTTTATTACAAAAAGTATGAATTAAGGAAAAACAACTTGGACTTTGGTTCTGAGAACAAACTTTATCAAATGACTCCGAAGTTATCTGCTTTGCCCAAGTATTTCTGCAGAGTCACCAAATACATTCAAGACTGGAAAAAAAGCACCTCAAAGTCAAATGAGGTGAGTGCCCACAGACACCAAGGAGAAAAGGAACAGGAGATCGATCGGGAAAAGACAGTGAGAAACACTTGCTAGCAGAAAACCCACAAACAGAAGCTATACTGGAACCTTTCCAATCAGTTCCATCTTTCAGGCTCTGTAGGCAAAGGAATGGGAGCCAGGCTGACCTCCAATAACGGGGCAGATGCGCAGACCCCCTTTCTTCGCACTGCGCGTGGGACAGGCCACAGAGCTCTCTGAAGCTTCTGGACTTACAATCATGGGACAGCATGGCATGGGCTGTGTCTTTAGCAAGTCCTTGGTTTTGTCCACGTGTTGTGCATTTCTCCAGTGGACCGACTGTTACTCAGGTTTGCAGAAAAAATAGGAATAAAAACAGAGCTCTCAGGCTCACAACCGTCTTGCAGCTTGATCTTGTCTAGAAATCTAAGTCATCTTGGCCAAAGCCATCTGCCCTGCCCACCGCCTCAGTGTGGGCGAGGCTTCCGAGTGCCTGGTCATCTTGTAGGTCACGGCCTTCACTGGCCCCCTGCTCTGGAGTCCTTGGGATTGAAGGGACCTCTTCTTGCTCAGAAGTGGAACTTTCTGGATACATCCTGATGGTCTTCCTCTCTGCATGGCCATCTCCTAGACTGACCTGAGGGCTCCCTTTTTTCTCACCTTGAGTTTCTCCTTCCGACTCTGGCTGGGCCTCCCCTTCAGCCTCTGGGGCCTCTATGCCTTCTGACTCTGGCTGGACCTCCCCTTCAGCCTCTGGGGCCTCTACGCCTTCTGACTCTGGCTGGGCCTCCCCTTCAGCCTCTGGGGCCTCTACACCTTCTGACTCTGGCTGGGCCTCCCCTTCAGCTTCCAGGGCCTCCCCTTCAGCCTCCAGGGCTTCTACACCTTCTGACTCTGGCTGGGCCTCCCCTTCTGCCTCCTGGATCTCCCCTTCATCCCGTAGGGCCTCTATGCCTTCTGCCTCTGGCTGGGCTTCTTCTTCTACCTCCTTGGCTTCCCATTCAGCCTCCAGGGCCTCTACAATTTCTGACTCTGGCTGGGACTCCCCTTCTACCTCTGGGGCCTCTATACCTTCTGAATCTGGCTGGGCCTCCCTTTCTGCTTCCTGGGTCTCCCCTTCAACCTCTGGGGCCTCTATAATTTCTGACTCTGGCTGGGTCTCCTCTTCAATCTCCAGGGCCTCTGCACCTTCTGACTCTGGCTGTGCCTCCCCTTCTGCCTCTGGGGCCTCTATACCTTCTGACTCTGGCTGGGCCTCCCATTCAGCCTCCTGGGCCTCCCCTTTTGCCTCTCGGGCCTCTACACCTTCTGACTCTGGCTGGGCCTCTCCTTCTGCCTCCTGGGCCTCTACACCTTCTGACTTTGGCTGGGCCTCTTCTTCTGCCTCCTGGGCCTCTATACCTTCTGACTCTGGCTGGGCTTCCCCTTCAGCCTCCTGGGCCTCCTCTTCTGCCTCCTGGGCCTCTACACCTTCTGACTCTGGCTGGGCCTCCCCTTCAGCCTCCTGGGCCTCTCCTTCAGACTTCAGGGCCTCTAGATCTTCTGACTCTGGCTGGGCCTCCTCTTCTGCCTCCTGGGCCTCTACACCTTCTGACTCTGGCTGGTCCTCCTCTTCTGCCTCCTGGGCCTCTATACCTTCTGACTCTGGCTGGGCCTCCCCTTCTGCCTCCTGGGCCTCTCCTTCTGTCTCCTGGGCCTCTACACCTTCTGACTCTGGCTGGGCCTCCCCTTCAGCCTCCTGGGCCTCTCCTTCAGCCTCCAGGGCCTCTAGATCTTCTGACTCTGGCTGGGCCTCCTCTTCTGCCTCCTGGGCCTCTACACCTTCTGATTCTGGCTGGGCCTCCTCTTCTGCCACCTGGGCCTCTACACCTTCTGACTCTGGCTGGGCCTCCCCTTCAGCCTCCTGGGCCTCTCCTTCAGCCTCCAGGGCCTCTAGATCTTCTGACTCTGGCTGGGCCTCCTCTTCTGCCTCCTGGGCCTCTACACCTTCTGATTCTGGCTGGGCCTCCTCTTCTGCCACCTGGGCCTCTACACCTTCTGACTCTGGCTGGGCCTCCCCTTCAGCCTCCTGGGCCTCTCCTTCAGCCTCCAGGGCCTCTAGATCTTCTGACTCTGGCTGGGCCTCCCCTTCAGCCTCCTGGGCCTCTCCTTCAGCCTCCAGGGCCTCTAAATCTTCTGACTCTGGCTGGGCCTCCTCTTCTGCCTCCTGGGCCTCTATACCTTCTGACTCTGGCTGGGCCTCCCCTTCTGCCTCCTGGGCCTCTCCTTCTGCCTCCTGGGCCTCTACACCTTCTGATTCTGGCTGGGCCACCCCTTCGGCCTCCAGGGCCTCTACATCTTCTGACTCTGGCTGGGCTTCCTCTTCTGTCTCCTGGGCCTCTATACTTTCTGATTCTGGCTGGGCCTCCTCTTCTACCTCCTGGGCCTCTACACCTTCTGATTCTGGCTGGGCCACCCCTTCGGCCTCCAGGGCCTCTATATCTTCTGACTCTGGCTGGCCCTCCTCTTCTGCCTCCTGGGCCTCCTCTTTGGCCTCCGGGGCCTCTATGCCTTCAGCTCCATCACTCTGTCCTGGATCTTGGTCACCTCCTGCCGCAGCTTCACCCTGCAAGTTGCCCTCATGCCCAGAGCCCTGGCCCCCAGTTCCTCCCCTCTCACCCAGGCCCTCTTCCTCCTGCTCAGCTTCCTCCAGCTCACTGCCGGCACTGGTTTTGCTGCTGTGAGTTTTCCCTTCACTCTCCTGAGCCACTGCAGCTCCCTCTGCCTCTCCCGGTTTGGGCTCTTTGTCTCTGTTGAGTCTCTGGCTCCCCTCGCCGTCCTCTTCCTCATCCACTCCAGGCCCTGGGCCCAGCCCCAGCCCTGGCCTCCCCTCAGCTCCCTGGACAGTCCTGGTGCTTATGGGGTCCATGGGGGTCCTGCCAGGGACCACCTCTGCTGCCTCCCCATCGGTGCGTTCTCCCTTCTTCCTCTGCAGAATCTGCTGCAGGTCAAAAGCCTCTTTGATGGGACCTCTGGTGGCCCCCATTGTGTCCTTGGGGGACGTAGGGCTCACTTTCTTCCTCACGCAGGCCTCGCAAGGACAGAACTCCTCTCCCTCAGCCTCTGCACCTAGCTGGGTGCCCAGGGCTGTGCTGAGGGCCGGCTCATCCTCCAGGGTGAAGGAGAGGGGCTCCAGGCCCAGTGTCCGCTCAGAGAAGGCCGAGAGGTTGCGCAGGCCCCAGAGGCGGTGTCTGCGCTGCTGGGTCTGCAAGAGCAGCTCCCCCGTGCGGGTCTCCCGGGGAGGCCCCAGCACCATCCGCCCCGCTCGACTCTGGAGCTTCTGGAGCTCTCTCTCGGTACTGTTCTGGAGGCGCCTGGCCACATCCTGCTGCAGCTCAGCCACCATCTGGTCCAGCAGATCGTTGTCCTGCAGGCCCCAGCGTGCTCGGAGCTCAGCCACCGAGCTGGCAAGGTGGGCCAGGAAGGCCTTCTCTGTCTTCTTCAGCAACACAGACACCAAGATGGGGTCACAGTCCAGAGCCACTCTGCAGGCCACTGAAGAGCTCTTCTCTGCAGCCCCTTGAGTAGGTGGGGCTTGTGTGTGCTCCCGGCCCATCCAGGTGGCTCTAGGTGGCTTTTCCAAGCCAGGTTCAAGCTGGGAGCCACTTTGACTTTCACTGGCACTTGGGTCCATCTCACTGAGATGACTAGGGGGCTCCGTGGGCTCCTCTGTGCCCTCTAGGGGGCATGGCTCTGCAGAGGCAGAGGCTCTTCCTGCTTCCTCCTCCTGGAATGGATCCTCTTCCTGGGAGCCTTCCCCATCCAGAGAGCCAGCCTCGGACAGTTCCTGTCCACAGACGTGTCCTTCTTCTGGAAGCTCTTCCTCTTGGAGACCTTCTTCAAGAGCCTCTTCTTGCAGTCCTCCTTCTGGTCCGTCTTTAACTTCCTCTAGCTGTGCCGCTTCTTGCAGCTGTGCTGTTTCTTTTTTCGTTTCCTCGAACTGTGCCTCTTCTTCTAGCAGTTCTCCTCCTCCTGTTTCTTTAGTTTCCTCTAACTGTGTCCCCTCTTCTTGAAGCCCTTCTCCTTCTGCTGCTTCTTCCACTTCCTCTAACTGCACCTCTTCTTGCAGTTCTCCCGATTCCTCTTTAGTTTCCTCTAACTGCGCCTCTTCTTGGAGTTCTTCTGTTTCTTCTTTCATTTTCCCTAATAGCACCTCTTCTCCTTGCAGTTCTCCATCTATTTCTTCTTTCATTTCTTCTAATTGCGCCTCTTCTCCTTGCAGTTCTCCTTCTGCTTCTTCTTTCATTTCCTCTAACTGCGCCTCTTCTCCTTGCAGTTCTCCATCTGTTTCTTCTTTCATTTCTTCTAATTGCGCCTTTTCTCCTTGCAGTTCTCCATCTATTTCTTCCTTCATTTCTTCTAATTGCGCCTCTTCTCCTTGTAGTTCTCCTTCTGTTTCTTTCATTTCCTCTAACTGCGCCTCTTCTCCTTGCAGTTCTCCTTCTGCTTCTTTCATTTCCTCTAACTGCGCCTCTTCTCCTTGCAGTTCTCCATCTATTTCTTCTTTCATTTCTTCTAATTGCGCCTCTTCTCCTTGTAGTTCTCCTTCTGTTTCTTTCATTTCCTCTAACTGCGCCTCTTCTCCTTGCAGTTCTCCTTCTGCTTCTTTCATTTCCTCTAACTGCGCCTCTTCTCCTTGCAGTTCTCCATCTATTTCTTCTTTCATTTCTTCTAATTGCGCCTCTTCTCCTTGCAGTTCTCCTTCTGTTTCTTCTTTCATTTCCTCTAACTGCGCCTCTTCTCCTTGCAGTTCTCCTTCTGCTTCTTTCATTTCCTCTAACTGCGCCTCTTCTCCTTGCAGTTCTCCATCTATTTCTTCTTTCATTTCTTCTAATTGCGCCTCTTCTCCTTGCAGTTCTCCTTCTGTTTCTTCTTTCATTTCCTCTAACTGCGCCTCTTCTCCTTGCAGTTCTCCTTGCAGTTCTCCATCTATTTCTTCTTTCATTTCTTCTAACTGCGCCTCTTCTCCTTGCAGTTCTCCTTCTGTTTCTTCTTTCATTTCCTCTAACTGCGCCTCTTCTCCTTGCAGTTCTCCATCTGTTTCTTCTTTCATTTCCTCTAACTGCACCCCCTCTTCTTGCAGTTCTCCTTCTGCTCCTTCTTTAGTTTCCTCTAACTGTGCCTCCTCTTCTTGCATTGTGTTTTCAGCCATCTGCTCCTCCCTGTCTCTTTCTGTTTCCTCCTCCTTGGTGGCACAAGCGCAGGCTGGGGAGTTCAAGAAGGCTGGGGAACAACAGTGCTGTTGCTTTTTCAGATCCCCTGGGTTCTCAGAGGTTCTGGAATCAGACCTCTGGTTGGAGGTTTTCAAGGACAGCTCGGTCCCCTCAGGGACCAGGGTGCCATCCATGGCACAGGGTATGCTGCTCTCCCCTGAGCCTCCAGAGCCACTACTGATGTCCACTCCAGAGGAGGACGTGGGCGTGAAGTTCTCTGTCACAGCGTGGGACCCAAGGTCAGGCAGAGCCTGGCTCCACGTGAGCTCCCAGAGGCCTGAGTCCAGCTGGTCCTGCCCAAGGTCACATCCTGGCCACAGGTCCTTTGAGATGCGGAGCAACTCCTGGTACCGAGGGGAGTCTTTGAACCTCACTTTGCTGGCAGGAGTCCCAGAGTCTTCATCAAAGAACTGGAGACCGGCCAGACAGGTAATGAGGGCCCCGGCTGAGCGGCTGAGCCTCCTGGCCACGGGCCGAGACACTTCGGGCACGCTGTTGGGCCGGTCATGCTTGGAGCCCATCAGTGCCCTCATGATCTGCGTGGAGGCAGACACCCGGCCAGGAAGTGTCCGCAGGCCCACCCCGCAGCTGGCCGGGGCCCCTCTGTCCACTCTGGCCTCTGCAGGGGCTTCAGAAACTCCCTCTGGAGATGCCCCTTGGGGGATACCCTCTCCTGATTGGGGACCAACGTCACCACTCACCTGGAGGACTCCCCCTGGCTCTAGGTCCTGCTCAGCATCCCCTTCCAGGGGCTGTTGTCTGGCATCAGCTGGCTCCCCCAGGCCTTCCAGAGCATGGTCATCCCCAGGGTCCACCTCAGGGCCTCTCAGGACACCCCCTGCTGCACCTGTGGTCTCATCCACCATCTCATATGTCATGAGTACGGGCTCTTCTGGAATGTTGTCCAGCCATTCTCGGACCATGGCCTCTGGAGTCGAGCGGGGCAGCGTGCCAGGGGACATGCAGCTGGCCTCCTCCTGCCCCTGGGGGCCTCCCTGACTAGCGGTCTTCTCCTGGGATAGCAACCCAGACCCCACACCGTAGCTGGCGCCGCTGCTCCTAGATGCCCCTGAACTGGGGCCAGAGGATGCTGTGAGCTCTGCCTGGTGTGTCTTCTCCTCCTGCTGGCTCCCACCTGGCCCACAGGCAGCACTCCGGTGGCTGCTGCTGGTGCTGGCACAGCTGGAAGGGCGCCTCTGAGGGCAGGGCCGCCCCCTGGGCGGGGTGGGGCAGTACCTGCCACACGGCCAGCGGGCCTCCAGGGAGGGTCCCCACTGGGCCTCTTGGGCCAGCAGTGTCCTGATCTGTGAGCAGGAACGGCCTTGGTGGGGGCCTGATGCCCCTTGCTCAGGCCGTTCAACCTGCAGAACCAATGGCATGGAGGGCAGGGGGGTGTCCCTGGCCTGTTCCCCCAGGCTGGCAGCCCCAGATTTTGAGCAGGAGTTGGATGTGTGAGGTGGCGTGGGGGCTGGTGAGCATGTCCTGGACCCCACCTCCCCTGCCCACCCAGCAGAGGGAACGTTGTCGGGGGAGATCCCAGAGGCACAGTCCGAGCGGCCTGCAGGGGTGATAGTGGCACTGCTGGTTCCCAGAAGGTCCTGGGAAGGAAGAGAGCCCAAGGAGGGAGGTCTCAGGTCCCCGGAGGCCTGTGTCCTGGAGCTCGATGAGCTTCCAGAAGATTGTGGCACTGAGCCATCCCGGCAGGCCCTTCGCCGCTCAGAAGGCCTCGGCACTTGCTTGGTTGCAGGGGAGTCCAGTGGGCTGTGGGTGCCCCTGCAGTAGCGACACTGCCTGGGAGAGTCTCTTGGGGCCACTCGGCCAAGGCCAGGGCTGCTGGGTGAGGACACCGCACTGGCCCGGCTCTTGTGCCTTCTCCGCCCCTGCTGGGCTGAAGTGCAGGTGGGAGTGGTAGAAGAGGCTCCCTCTGAGTCCCAGGAGCCGGAAAGGCCCGAAGCCAGAGGCTCCCTCATCACAGACGCACCCCTGGCCTGCTGGTGCTCGGTGCCGTGTCCTGGCATCTCTGGCTGCAGGTCCTCACTCCTTAAAGATGAAAGACTCAGGGCTGGAGAACCCAGGACACCTCCCTCAGTGGCCTCCTGCTGGGAGGTCTCAGCCCTTGTCTTGCCCAGGCAGCCCCGGGTCCGCCCGCCCCATTCGCTGGATCCCTCCCTGCTGCTGGCTGATGAGTCCGAAGAAGCCCCCTCCTCACTCTGGGCCCTGGACGTCAGGCGGCCGCCTTGCTCTGGGCCGCCCGGCCCTGCTCCATCTGTGCACATGCCGGGCTCCTCACCCAGGCTCCCGCCAGCTTCCCACTCGGCCCCTCTCTGGGTAGAGGGGCTGCCACTGTCCACTCTGTCCTCTGGGATCCTGGGGCAGCAGGAAGAGTCTGGCTCCGAGCCCTCGGGGTGGCCGGTGCTGGAGGCTGGGCTGGCGCTGTCCTGGCTGCATCTCTCCCTCCCAGGAGCCCCGCGGTCCCACAGGCCACTGCAGCGGACATGCTGAGCCAGCCCCCACCTCTTCCGAGCCGCCACTCTCTCTCCCTGGGAGGCGTGCAAGGGATTCGTCCAGATTTCATACTTGGGCCCTGGCTGCCCACCTCGGCCAAAGGCTTCCCCGCATCCCACCCTGCAGGGCCGGGGTCCCCACACCCCAGGCTGTGAGAAGCCCCAGGGGTAGCCCTCCCACACACAGCAAAGGGGGTCTACCTCCCCCAGAACGGGGTCCTCCCCGCTGGCTGTGGTGAGGGCGCTGGCCCGGCCCATCCTCCGGGACCACAAAAGCGTGTCCTCACCGACCAGGTGGAAGCGGACTTTCATCTCCACGGACAGGCTGCCATCCTCGTTCATACGGACCTTCTTCTTCATGTCATCGCCGGCCACTAGCGGGCCCGGCTGCGCCGGCGTGTCTTGAGGGTGCCTGTCGGGAGCAGGGCCCGCCAGGGGATCACTGGGACCAGGCCTCTCTGGCAGCCGTGGCCTGCTGCCTGACTGGGACCGTGAATGGATCACGCTCGGCTTGGTCTTTGGCCCCCAGCTCCCTGGCATGCAGCAAAGAGAAAAAGAAAAGAGGAAAAGATGATATAGTCATGAGCCTGCCACCACCTGGATACCACCACTACCTCCAAAATGCACCGTAAGGGCTGGGCGCAGTGGCTCATGCAGGTAATCCAAGCACTTTGGGAGACCAAGGCGGGAGGACTGCCTGAGCTCAGGGTTTCAAGACCAGCCTGGGCAACATAGTGAGACGCCATCTCTACAAAAAAAAAAAATTAAAAAATAATTAGCTAAGCATGGTAGTATGCCCTACAGTCCCAGCTGCCTAGCTACTTGGAAGGCTGAGGCAGGAGAATCCCCTGAGTCCCAGAGTTCGAGGCTGCAGTGAGCTGTGTGCCATTGCATTACAGCCTGGATGACAGAGTGAGACCATTAAAAAAAAAAAAAAAAAAAAAAAAAGCATGTTAAGGGCAGAGCTATTCTAGAATGACAATCCACAGAGTTACCAGTCTGTGAACTGGCATCATCTAGCAAGGAGAACCTGAGTCTGAATTCAGTCTCCACTCTGCCACTTCCTAGCTGTGTAGTTTTTGGCAGAGCCTGTTTTCTCAACCGTAGAGTAAGCATAATAATATTGATCGAGTCGGTTCACATTAATGCATGGCCATACATATAAAACTTCCTTCACAGTTGCTGGCACACAGTAGGCTCTCAAGAGATGCACACTTGGCAGGCAGAGCGGCAGTGCCCAGAGCTTGCTCCTAGCCCTCCTCATGCCCACCACCAGCTCAGCAGGTGAAATCGATAAACTGCTGCATATGACCCTGATTGTTAACTGTTATATGCTCTGCGATTATTAGCGGTGATTTATCACCCTAACCCTCATCAAGCTCCTGGGTTGATAAATGATTACAGGGAAAGACCCGGCTGCACCATATCAGGTCCTGCTAGTCAAGCCTGCACCCCAGCCATGAAAGACAGAAGAAAGGGCCGCTGGGGATGCAAAGGAGTGGCTCTAAGGAAGAATGCACCAGGCATGATGGCTCACACCTGTAATCCCAGCACTTTGGGAGGCCAAGGCAGGTGGATCACCTGAGGTCAGGAGTTCGAGACCAGCCTGACCAACGTGGGGAAACCCCGTCTCTATTAAAAGTGCAAAAAATTAGCTGGGGGTTGTGGCAGATGCCTGTAATTCCAGCTACTTGGGAGGGAGGCTGAGGTACAAAAATTGCTTGAACCCAGGAGGCGGAGGTTGCAGTAAGCCAAGATCACGTTGCTGCACTCCAGCCTAGGTGATAGAGCAAGACTCTGTTTCAAAAAAAGCAAAAAAAAAAAAAAAAAAAAAAAAAAGGGGATGAATGAATGAAGCCCTTAAGGGCTTTCGAATTTCATCTTTGGAGCCAATACATGGCAAAAGGGTAGTGCTAGCAGAGGCTGAGTCTACAATCAGCAAAAGAACAGACCCCAGGTGCACATCTGGGCAGAAGATGGCTTTGCCCAGTCCTGTCCCTCCACAGGGACCAAATGAGACTGAGGACTCTTCCAGGGAGGGGCCCAGAGTAAACTGTCCTTGTGCCTCCAGTACTTGTCCTACAGGGATCACCAAGCCTGTCCTTGTTGGTGTTTGCTGAGCTTTTCACAAAGGACAGTAAGTACTTTGGTTAGTAAGTACTTTGTTTACTCATCACATTTTTCCATGATCAAACTGCATTTGTCAATTAATTGTGCTTTTAAAAAATAAGTGTGTGTGGTTTTAAAAAATAACATAGTATAGACGGGCTCGCTGGCTGGCTGGCTGCCTGGATGACCCATGGCCTTGGTTAGTTTTAGTCCTTTTGACCCCGGTGCAGGCCACCACTGTTGCCTGAGACTGTCGTGACCAGGAAAGGATGCCACGCCACACACACAGCCCGTTGCTGCTATGATGTCATATTCACTGTAGTTGTTCCTTTTTTTTTTTTTGAGACAGGGTCTCTGTTGCCCGGGCTGGAGAGCAGTGGCATGATCATGACTTATTGGAGTCTCAAACTCCTGGGCTCAAATGATCCTCCCACCTCTGTCTCCTAAGTAGCCGGGACCACAGGCATGTGCCACCATGCCTGGCTAATTTGTTCATTTACTTATTTATTTTTTTGGTAAAGGCAGGGTCTTGCTGTGTTGTCTAGGTCTGTCTTGAACTCCTGGGCTCAAGCGATCTTCCTGCTCTGGCCTCCCAAATTGCTGGGATTACAGGTGTGACCCTCTGTGCCTGTGGTTCTTAATAAAATTTACTTTAGATTCTAGAAATTTCAAGTTCAAGATCTCTTAATCCCTGTTCCATTTATTTATTTATTTAGAGACCAGCTCTTTCTCTGCCATCCAGGCTGGACTGTAATGGTACAATCACGGCTCACTGCAGCCTCAACCTCACAGGCTCAAGTGATCCTCCCACCTCAGATTCTCTGGAACTATAGGCATGTGCCATTATGCCTGGCCAAATTTTTTGTATTTTTTTGTAGATACAGAGTCTTATTATGTGGCCCAGGTTGGTGGACTCAAGCGGTCCTCTTACTTTGGCCTCCCAAAGTGCTGAAATCACAGACATGAGCCACTGTATCCAGCCTCTGCTCCTCATATATACCAAGCACTGCCTTCTCCTATCTCAGTCAAATGCTCAACCCAAGTGAGGTTGACAGTGATGAGAAGAAGGAAGAGGCAAGAGATCCCAAAATGACTGGGATACCTAAGATTTGGGGCCAAAGGGAAGTTTCCCAAATTATCTGGAAGGGTATCCACTTGGCCCTACTGAACCACCATCAGATGGGGGAAATTCAAACACCAACTCACCGTTTTTGTTTCTTGAAGTCAGCCCAGATAAAGTTCCAGCCTCACTTCTCCTGGCATTTTCCATGGCTGGAGGTCTAAAGGCCTCATGCCCGGCACACACCAGCACGGAGGGGCTGTGCAGCAGGGCCTGCAGTGAGTCCACCTGAGGGAGGGTGAGGGGTCAGGAGGCCTGGGCTGCAGACACCCTCTGTCCCAAGGCCTGGGGGAGGAAGGCCAGTCTCGCCAGCCCTGTCCTGATTTCTGCCCATCTCACCCTGGTTTCCTGGTCCAAGGAGGAGTCTTCACTCTCTATAGCACCTCCATCACTAGCTGGGGGCTGAGGTCCCACCACCATGATCTCCCACTCTAACTATACCCCTCCCTCCACCAGGTGTGAGGCCTGTGATCGAAGGTCACTCTGGATGCCCCTGCTGCAAAAGACGTCTGTGGGCTGCGTCTCTGCCCACATGTCCAACCTCCAGAACATGTATTCCCTGAAGCAGCCAGAGCAGCACCCACTCCAGCTCCCACAGGGAGGTCCGATTCACTCTCTCACCCTTTTCCCAAATGGAGGAGCCTCTGTGCTGCCTGACCTGTGTTTTCTAGTACAATCTGAGTCTGCTGCCTCTGCCTCTCCCCGAGTGGAGGGAAGAGGGGCTAGGCACCACTCTCCTGCAGGGACCCCTTCCCTTCCAGACTCCTGCAATGGTATCTAAGGTCCTGACCCTCCCCAGACCCATCAGGATGTCCCCTATCCACTGCTGGGCTCGGGGCAGGTCATGTCACTGCAGTACTCCATTCCAGGAGACAGGTCCCTGGACCCAGAGGCCCCTGCAGATCTCAGGGTTTGCACTGTTGATGGGATTACATTGTAATTAGCAATGCTGGGGAATGTATCTCCATCTTTAAAGCACAGAGCATGTTCTTTTTCATTTTCTAAAATTAGAAGGGTATGCTCATTAACAAAACAAATGAAAGAGGAAACATTACATTCTCTTTCCCAAAAATATGTCATAGAAATGCGTTGTACACTAGATCGTTCAGCCTAGCAAATTAGAAGTTGGTTTTAAATGACTAGGTCCATGGCTTCTTTGCCTTTTGGCTAAGACCAAGTGTAAATGACTAGGTCCATTTCTTCTTTGATCTAGATTTCTAGTCCATCAAAAAAATACAAACATGACCCAAGTCTATGAATTCATAGATGTAGCCATGCTTCTAGGGAGTCAGACTCTCCAGGGAAGAAGAAAATATTAAAGACTAAATGATGCTCCCATTCCGAGGGAGAGGCAGAAGCCTAAAATCCACAGGAAAAGGAGCATTTTCAAGAACGACCATTCGGGAGGGAACACAAACGTTGATAATCATGTTTCGGTTCTTCCTGGGGAGAAAGGAGGTCATTATGTTTACAGAAACTCTTAGCAGCTCTGCAATAAGTCTAGGTGAAAATATCCTAATGTCTTTATCTCCAGTTCACTCATATTGTGCCAGCTCTCTCCCCATCACCGCACCCACTAAATTGTAGCTAACTCAAGGTAGGGACCTTGTCTCATTTGTCTATTTATACGGGACACGCTAGTCCATGGTAATGCACACTAACTCAAAAGCATCCTTACATTACACTGCAATTAGCAATGCTTGTGGATGTATTTCCATCTTTAGAGCACAGGTCATGTTCTTTTTTCTTTTCCAAACGAATGTTAGCTCTAACATTTGCCATCCATGCAACTAGGAGCAAATTATTTAATCTCTGTGCTTGACTTTTCTTATCTGTCCCAAGGGGATAATAATATCAGCTACCAGCCAAATGCAGTGGCTCACATCTGTAATCTCAGCACTTTCAGAGGCTAAGGCAGATAGATCCCTTGAGCCCAGGAGTTTAAGATCAGCCTGGGCAATATGGTGAAACCCCATTTCTACTAAAAAATACCAATAAAATTAGCCAAGCGTAGTGGCATGTGACTGCAATTCCAGCTGCTTGGGAGGCTGAGGTGGAAGGATCACTTGAGCCCAGGAGGTTGAGGCCGCAATGAGCTGAGATTGTGCTACTACACTACAGCCTGGGTAACAGAGTCAGAGCCTGTCTCAAATATTAATAATAATAATGAATAATAGTAATATATCAGCTACCTGGTGAGTTTGGGTGGTGAATGCTAAGCCCTAGACCAGCTGCTTCTATCCCACTCTCTTTCTGGTGTGCTTTCCAGTACTGCAGAGGTTTCTTTGTTTTGGTTTTGTTTGTTTGTTCGTTTTTGAGATGGAGTCTTGCTCTGTCACTCAGGCTGGAGTGCAGTGGTGCAACCTCCACCTCCCAGTTCCAAGTGATTCTTCTGCCTCAGCCTCCGAGTAGCTGGGACTACAGGCATGCACAACCATGCCAGGCTAATTTTGAATTTTTAGTAGAGTTGGAGTTTCCCCATGTTGGCCAGGCTGGTCTCAAACTTCTGACCTCGAGTGATCCACCTGCCTTGGCCTCCTAAAGTGCTGGAATTACAGGTGTGAACCACCACACCTGACCCAGTACTGCAGAGTTTGGAAAGCTGCCAGCCCATTTTCTGAACTCCCTTGCAGCTTGGGGTCTAAATGCAAAATAAGTCCCACTAATTAGATGCACTTGTGCAGGGCGTGGAACATGGCAGTGAAGCAGAGGCCATCTTCCTTTTGTTCCTGACTCTTGCCACAAGCAAAATGAAGTCAAAGATGCGAGAGATGTGTGCCGCTGAGACGGCAAAAGATGCCCTCGTTGTTCTAGTATCCATCATCTTCCCATCTGGGATCCCAGCAGTGGTGGGGTAATTCAGAGCTCAGTCATTCCAGAGGCAATCCCCAAAACCCCCTTTCCTCATTTCCTAGACACCACTGACAGGTTGGTCTGAAGCATTCTGGGAGTCTTTTTCAGGACACAGCCTGTGCTCCTCCAGCCTTTCAGTGAATCTCTAAGCATCAAATGCTCTGAGTGTAATTCATTCCTGCTTAAGATGCTGAGAGAGGAGTCTGCTTCCTGTACTGAAGCATGGCTGACACACGGTATCACATCAGAAGTGGCCACAGGCAATGGACCTTCAAAGATAGGAATCTGGGATTTGTGACCTCATCTGGATGATGTGAAGGTGGTGATAAACTGGTGACAATGGGGCACTCGTACCACATGGCACACAGTGACAACATAGTTCTTAGATGATCCCCTCTGATGGTAGAAAGCACTGCTTCCTGAGAGCAGGACCTGGACCCTCCACTGGCTGTGGGGATAGCCTCTTCGAACGAGAGGGAGAACTGCAAAGGCTACGGAGTGGGCTGGCCACTTCCCACTTTTGAAAAATGGCAAGCTCAAGGTCTAAGCCCTAACTGGAGGATGGCCAGAGGACGTGGGGGCTTCTGCAACTGCTGTCAAAGAGTTTCTTTTCTCTTGTTGCCAAAGCTCAAATGTAGAACTGCTTCTGCTGGTGGCTGAAAGACAACTGAACCCGGTGTTAGGTGTTCCATCCAGCCATAAAGCAGGGGTGCTGTACGGAAGTGGACCCTGATCACCAGGTGGAGGTGATGCAGACTAGATCAGGGTCAAGAAGCTTGACTGAGGCATCAGTAAATTGCTCGAGCAGTCGACGCACCCCCCAGCTCACCTGCTCCTGCCGTGTTTCCGTCCCTCCTCAGCACACACCTATGACTTCCTGGGAAATTCCCCGTCCCAGCTAACTGAAGAAGAAAATATTCTATTCTGGCTTTCAGATGGTTGCAGAGAGTATGCTGACATGACCAAGAGGTGGCTACTGTGTGACAGACTCACTTGGGCCATGAAGGGCAGTGGGGAAAGAAAACCCAGGGGACAGTGTGATTTGGTGACTACTTGGAAGAAGCAATGGCAAGAGGTTCTAGAGCAATTTATGGGCAGTGGGCAGTGGTTAGCAGTTAAATCTGACAATCAAGGAACTTGAAGGAAGGGGACTGGAGGTTGGGTGACAGGAAGTCCAGAGACTAATCTGAATGGATCGCTCAGAACTGGCCCAGAGGGTGAGAACATTGGTGACCCCCATGCATGTTTACTAAAAGGTGAAAATCCTGTGGATACACTGACCAGCTCTGCAAAGTCAACCATCTGCTTCCTCCAGCCACCCCAGCTATGCTCAGGCAGCTCCTGGACAAAGCGGCAAAGAAGCATCGACTAGCAGCAGACGCTTCACCTCATTCAAGCAAACCTGGCTGCCACCTCTGCTCATGGCCTGATCTGCTAAGAGCAGAGACCCAGTGATTCATATCAGATCTTGAGGGACGCAGCCAGACCCCTGGTGGAAACCTAATGACATCAAACCCCTCTGATATGGTGGTGTTCAGCAATCTGTGCCCACTGTAACAGACACCTGCTTCACAGGTAGATTTTGCACCTGGCCCATCATCCTTCTCTACCCTCCATGGACTCACCAAATGCCTTATTCATCCTTGCCAAAACCCAGGAAGATCCATCCAAAGTTCCATCCAAATGACTGATTTTATAGCAAAGATGTGAGAAGATGGGCTAACACCCATGGAACTCACTGTGTGGCCATGTACCCATCACCGAAAGCAGCTCTAATTTATGAAACAATAGAATATTCTATGGAAGACCCAGTTTGGGCAGCAGCTAGAAGACGTCACTTTATGATGTTGGGATGTTGTCTTACAGGATGTGATATGTGCTCTGAACTAGCAACTGATACTTAGTGCTGTTTCTCTGGCAATAAGACACCTGTGACCTCACTGCAAACATTCTGCTTTCCATCCCAACAGTTTTGGTCTCTGCAAGCTATACAGTGAAGCCCATGGGTGTTAGTCCACTCTCTCACTTCTTTTGCCATGAAATTAGTTCTCTGGATAGAAGTGGGTTATGGCATGGGTTATGGCATAGGTTTGGCAGTCTCAGGACCCAAGGGAGAATGATGCTTCTTAGAAGACACAACAGTGGGCTAGACATGGTGGCTCACACCTGTAATCTCAGCAGTTTGGGAGGCCGAGGTGTGTGGATCACCTGAGGTCAGGAGTTTGAGACCAGCGTGGCCAACATGGTGAAACTTCATCTCCACTAAAAATATGAAAATTAGGCAGGCATAGTGGTGGGCTCCTGTAATTTCAGCTACCTGGGGGCCTGACGCAAGAGAATCACTTGAATTTGGGAGGCCAAGGTTGCAGTGAGCCAAGACTGCATCACTGCACTCCAGCCTGGGCAACAGAGTGAGAGTCCGTCTCCAAAAAGAAAGACTAGGAGGAGGGGGAGGAGGAGGGCGGGGAAGAAGGAGGAGGAGGAGGATGAACAACAATAACAACAACACAACAGTGGCCCCGTGGAGCTGAAAACTGAAATGGTTGCCTTGGACATACAAGGCTTCTCATGACAATAAACCAACAGGCAACAAGCAGGTTCTGTGTTGGATGGGGTGATTGGTTCTGATTGTCCAAGGGGGAAATAGAGCTATTACATAATGGGACAGGGAAGAAGTCACCTGTTTCCCAGGCAGCCTATTGGCTGTCACGTCCAGGGGTAAACATGAACACAAGACCACAGCAGCCCCATCCAGTGAGGAACCCCAAGGGCTCAGACTTCTCAGGAAAATGGTTCAGTCACTCTGCCAGGTACACAACCATAATCAGCTGAGGTGCTGGTGGGAGACAGAGGAACAGGGAGTAAAGAGTGGAAAGAAGCTTTAAACACCAACAACGGCCTTGTGGTAGATAATTTTCTTCACAGCTCTGGTAGGTATACACATTTATCAGTTTCCCTTTTCTTTGCTCTTTATTTCCTATACTACTTTGATGGTGCTGGACTATATAAGTAGATCTTGAGATAAGGGGATATCAAGGTAAAGTTGTCACAGAATAGAAGATGAAGGGTCAGTGATAGCATGATTGGGGGAAGAAGGTGAAAGGGTTTCTGATTGTAGGAGGAGAGCTCTATTATTACATGAGTGCAAGTTGCTGTAACTGATGTTTATAATGAAGGTTTTATAATGATGTTATGACTTTTTTTTTTTTTTTTTTTGAGACGAAGTCTGGCTCTGTCACCCAGGCTGGAGTGCAGTGTGCAATTTTGGCTCCCTGCAGCCTCTGCCTCTCAGGTTCCAGCAATTCTCCTGCCTCAGCCTCCCAAGTAGCGGGGATTACAGGCATGTGCCACCATGCCTGGCTAATTTTTGTATTTTTAGTAGAGATGGGGTTTCACCATGTTGGCCAGGCTGGTCTCGAACTCCTGACCTGAGGTGATCTACCCACCTCATCCTCCCAAAGTGCTAGGATTACAGGTGTGAGCCACCACACCCAGTGATGTTTATGAAGGTGGAATGGTGCATACAGATGTTAAGTAGCAATAGGACTGAATTAGATCAGTCAACCTCCATCCTCAATTCTGCCCACCTTTGGTGGAAATTCATGTTCTGCAGAACCTGGAAAGGCAAAAATTACATCCATGGATGTCCCTGAACTCAATAATCATAGCAGTTTCCAGCAGAGGTAGTAGCTTCCTGCACATGCTGGGAGCCATTCCTACAGACCCAGCTTCCAATTCAATCTCTGGCTTCTCAAAGATTTGGAAGCTCTCCAATGCCCTGTATTAAATCACTTTCTAATTAAGGTACCTTGGGTGGTTTCTGTTTCCTGCACTGAACTCCTGCATTAATGGGTTATTGGATAAGACAACAACACAAGTACACAAGGCACAATGCCTGGCACTTACCACATCCTCTCTCAATGCAGCTAAAAACGTGAATCACAACTGCTTGTTGATTAATTGACTTGACTGAACATCTCCATGCTATTCATGTTTAGTTAGTAGGAGGGCAATCGTGTGCCGTTAAGGAATAACCTCCCTCTTCCATGCGAGTATTTCGACTTGGGGTCTAAAGAACCTTTTCAAGGAACCGTCAGACCCCGACAGCCTACCTTTTTCCCACTGGTTGTGTACACCTGCTTCACAGGAAAGCACAGCAGATCTGAGGCTTTGCTGAGAAAGGCAGCCAGGCTTCTCACATTCCTGTGACTGAGGACCACTGTCTGCTGGAGGCGAGGGTCTGTGTTCTTAACCAACAGTATCCTCCGGGGAGTTTTAAGACTCTTCCAGGAGGAGGATGTTCCTGGGGCTTCACGCTGGCCTTTGATATCCCGCAAATGTGGAGCAGCGGGGCTTCTCCCCTGTGGCCAGCCTGGCCCACTGGGGGTCTTGGGGGGCTTCTTATCAGAGCATAGGTAGCAGCCACCATCTTCCAGCTGCTCCAGGGCACTGAGGCTGTGCAGACCCCGGGGTGTGGTAACAGAGCGCACCCCAAAGGAGAGAGGCATGCGCTGAGAGAGCTCGTCCATGAGGGCGCTGAAGGTCTTAAAGGCGCGCTGGTGAACGGCTAGGCGGACCCCAGCAAACTGTGGATCCCCTCGCTTGAGGAAGGTAATCTTCTTGGCTGGAGTGACCTTGGTGACCGAGGGGGTGCGAGCCACAGAGGGCAGGAGGCACTCACGGTGGCTCGGGGCCTGGGCATCCCTTGGGGTGCTGTTCATGATGTGGGGGCTCTGGTAGCTGTAACAGGTCAGAGAAAGAGGGGTCAGAGAGCAGGTTAGGAGACTGGCATTTTCTGTCTCTCCCCTTCTTTGTAGAAGGGCTTCCAGCTCACCCCAAATGTGTTCCACTCCACTATGGAAAGGCAGGTGAATCTATTTGGATGGAATAGAAGGAAGGTCAGAAGTTGGGCATGGAACAGATCTGTGTTCAAATCCCAGCCGCGTGGACTGCTGGAGTTCAGGAGTTCAAGACCAGCTTGGGCGACATGGCAAAACCCCATCTCTACTAAAAATACAAAAAACAGCCAGGTGGTGTACACCTGTGGTCCCAGCTACTCAGGAGGCTGAGGTGGGAGGATGGTTGGAGCCTGGCAAGTTAAGGCTGCAGTGAGCCATGATCATGCCACTACATTCTAGGCTGGGCAATACAGCAAGACCCTGTCTCAAAAAAAAAAAAAAAAAAAATTCCAGCCTCACCACCTACTCCTGTGTGGCCCAGAAGGTTAAGGATGTGATCTGGATTTTGGTGGCCCCCATCTGTAAAATGCAGCTGTAGCCACTCTGCCTGCATAGTGGTTATGATTATCAGATGAGTCTAGACATGAAAACACCTGGCACTGAGCAAGTTATCTATCTATCTATTTATCTATCTATCTATCTATCTATCTATCTATCTATCTATGTATCTATATTTTTTTGAGCCAGTCTCGCTCTGTCACCCAGGCTGGAGTGCAGTGGTGCAATCTTAGCTTACTGCAACCTCCACCTCCCAGGTTCAAGCGATTTTTGCGCCTCAACCTCCCAAGTAGCTGGGATCACAGGTGTATGCCACCACACCCAGCTAAATTTTGTATTTTTTTTTTTTTTGTAGAGACAGGGTTTTGCAGTGTTTGCCAGGCTGGTCTCGAACTCCTGACCTCAGGTGATCCACCCACCTCGGCCTCCCAAAGTGCTCGAATTACAGGTGCGAGTCACCATGTCTGGCGATAAATCTTTACTTCTTTCCTTCCTGTTGTTTCTCTTGCCCACTTCTACCAACCTTGAACTTTTTAAAATAGTATTTTAGCAGTTTGTCTCTAAGGAGGTGAGTAAGTAAAGAGAAGACCATGAAACACAGAGGTACGAAGGCTGGATAGAGACTCAGGAGGCTTGGGCAGCATACCCGACTTGTGAGGTCTCCCTGTACGGCCCCTGGGGGTTCTTGCCTCTTTGGACTCCCCCTCTACAGATGTTGTGTGAAAGGGCTCGAGTGGAAGTCACGGGTCCCAAGCCACGCAGGGACAGGGGTGCAGACAGGGAGACTTGGAGCTCTGTGTCTTTAACTCAAATGGGTTGACACTGTTTGAAGCTGCGTGTCTTCTGCATTACATATTGAGGTTTGCTTTCATGTAACCACGATGCTGCCTCTTACATTTCCCTGAAGTCTGTGCAAGGTGCACAATAAATCCTACGGGTGAGTATCTCGGCCACTGCCGCCAGCATGGGAGAGGGGGCTCAGAGCTGCTGTGGGAGGTCAAGGCCATTCTCCCACAGTCTGTTCCTGCTCCCACTGCCTGCCAGAGGGGAGCCCACAGCCTCACATGGGGATGCACAGGCCTTCTGTGCTCTTCCCAGTCCAGGAGGCCACACCTGCTCTGGGTACCTCACCTCCCGCTTCTTGCCCACATGAGAATTCCCCATTCTCACCAGGCTGCCTGGCTGCAAGGGTTTCCTGCAAGGTGGCCCCTGCCTCGCTTTCCTTCTTCGCAGATTTTTACTCAGCCCTCACAAGCCCGGGGAATTCCCCCTCTTCATTAAAGCTCCTCCGGCAGTTCCCATACCTGGGCCTGGGCCCTTTCTGGCCAACTCCTTTCTGGCCCGGGAGGCAGAACCTCTGCTCCCCAGGGCTGCGGCCCCGCATTCCGCACAGAGTCGGGCCTGAGAAACGCACACAGACGAGGAAAACTAATGCTTCCTAGAGCCAGGACTGTTGGAAGCTGGCCCTGAGCACTTACCAGGGGCAAGAAGTCGTCCCAGCTTACAGGTGGCTCAGCCCAGGACCCCCGTTGGTGTGCAAGGCCATGGGCAGCAGTGGTGCTCCCTGCCACGGCCATTGTACCATTTCCAGGGTAACTGGGGCCCCCATCTCCCCTTCTCACCCTCCTCTCCATGTAGCCCTATTTGTCCTTAGGGAAAAAACTCTCTTTTTCAAAATCACGGTGCAGAAAAAGACCTGATAATCTGCCCTCATCTCTGACACAAGCTTTATAATTAGCCGGGCCACCTCCTCCCACCTAACTTTAATCCCTGGAAGCTGCTGTTCCCAGCCCTCGGCTAACCTCCCTGCCAGGCTGGAGAACTTCCCCCAGACGCTGCTGTGGGACAGTCCTTCTTTCAGTATCTTCCGTCTGCACCTGGCACTGTGAGCATCCATCTGGCGCATGCTGACAGAGCTAAAGAAATGAAGCCCACCTTGTACCCAGTGTCACTGTGTCTCTCAGCACCATGTTCCCAGCATTACTGTATTATGTATTTTCATTTTCCTTGGAATCATTGTATCCCAGGAACACCATGTCCCCAGCTTCACCATGGCCCTAGTGTGATCACGTCCCTCAGCACCATGAGATTGTCTGCATCACTGTATTCCCAGCATTACAATGTCCCAGCATTATAATGTGCCAGGTGCCCAGCACCACAATTACATCCCCAGCACTGCCATGTTCTCACCCTCACAATGTCACCAGCACTGCCATGGCCCACCATTACTGTGTGCCCAGCACCACCATGTCTTCAGTGTCACCATGTCCCCCAGCACTGCCATGAACCCAAAATGACCATGTCCTTCAGCAGTACCATATCCCCAGCACCTCCATGTCCCCAATACCTCCATCAACCCAGCACTACCATGTCCCCAGCACCTCCATGTCCCCAGCACCTCCATGTCCCCAATACCTCCATGAACCCAGCACTACCATGTCCCCAGCACCATCATATCTCTAGCACCACCACATCCCCAGCATCACCATGCTCCCAGAGTCACATGCCTTCAGAGTCACCATGTCCCCAGAACCACTGTGAAGCCAGGACCACTGCGTCTCCAGCATAACCATGTCCCCAGTACCTCCATGTCCCCAGAATCATCATGTCCCCAGCATCTCCATGTCCCCAGAATCACCATGTCCCCAGCACCTCCATGTCCCCAGAATCATGTTCCTAGCACCTCCATGTCCCCTGAGCCATCATGTCCCCAGCACCTCCATGTCCCCAGAATCATGTTCCCAGCACCTCCATGTCCCCAGAATCATGTTCCCAGCACCTCCATGTGCCCTGCATCCCCATATCCCCAGCACCTCCATGTCCCCAGAATCATGTCCCCAGCACCTCCATGTCCCCAGAATCACCATGTCCCCAGTACCTTCATGTCCCCAGAATCATCATGTTTCCAGGACCTCCATGTCCCCAGCATCACATGTCCTTAATGTCACCATGTTCCCAGCATCACTGTGTTCCCAGCACAGCACATGTCCCCAGCATTGCTATGATTCATTGTCACCCTGATCCCCAGCATCACCAAGCCACCCAAATGACCATGTCCTCCAGCAGCACCATGTCGTAGAACCACTATGTCAGCTCCCCAGTACCTCCATGTCTCCTGCTCCTCCATGTCACCAGAATCATCATGTCCCCAGCACCTCCACGTCTCCAGAATCATATTCCCAGCACCTCCACATCCCCAACATCACCATGTCCCAGAACCACTGTGTCACCAGCACCTTCGCATCTGCATCATTACCATATCCTCAGCACCTCCATGTCCCCAGAATCATCATGTTCCCAGCACCTTCACATCCCCAGCATCACCATGTCCCAGAACCACCATGTCCCCAGCACCTCCGTGTCCCCTGCATCACTGTGTCTTCAGCACTGTCCTGTCTCCAGTATGACCTTACCTTGCAGCCATGGGGAAGGGAGATGCAAACATGGAGGGTTTTCTTCTCGGAAGAGGCATCGCCTTCCAGCCCTCACCCTCAGAAGACCCCGTCACATTCTCCACACATTCTGTCACTCATCACTCACTCTCTCATGTATCCAACAAAGATTTCTGAGCGTCTATTATATCAGGCTCTGCGTGGCATTCTGGAATGCGAACATTAGTGGGACACAGCACTGAGCTTCAGAAACTTCACATCCCAGTGTGACAGACATGCTCCTACACACAGCAATAAATTTTCTGATGTGTATATGTGTACATACACACACACTCACACATACACCACAATATACACTGGATGTGACTGAATGCAGAGTAAAAAGAATGGCAGTGCAGGTCAAGGAAGGCTTCCTGGAGGAGGTGATATAGAGATTCCTCAGCTGAACCCTAAAAACAACTTAGGGATTAGTCTCTCTGGCTCTAGGAAGAAGCTGGGACCATGGCAAATAGATATGGGGTCAGAAGTCTGGGAGGAGAAGGTCGGAGGCTTCCTGCAAGCTGGAATCGGCTGCCGTAGAGTCAGGGTAGAGCAGGGCCATTCTGGGTGCCAGACACCTGCCTTCCCTGCATCAGGGCATTCAAAACCTAGCCTGGAAAACTGGGCTTTTCAGTTCCATGAGCCGGCACTTCTCTCCTTAGCTAAGTGGGTTTGAGTTGGAGTTTCTGTCTTGCAGAGCAGGAAGAGCCCAGCTGAGATGTGGGCTCCAGAGTGACAACAGCGAGCACCTCACCTTCGGGGACCCTGAAGCTGGGTTTCTGAGTTAGGGAGAAGCCTGGGTGGGGGCAGGAGCCAAGACTACAGTCAGATCCCCACCTCTGTCCCGCGGATGACAGGAGACAACCGCTGCATTCCTATATTCCAGACCAGATGCCAGATGGAGGGTAAACCATCAGCTGATATGCAAAGTTGCCTATCAGTCATTTTTCCCCTTACTGGTTTCCTCCTTTCAAAATTATGAGGTTTCTCCTCCAGGCAGGAGCAGAAGACCTGACCTCACAACAAGACAGGCTGGGTGGGTGCCAGGCCGGGTCTGGGGAGAGGGGGCCCT